TCACTCACACACACACTCACACACACACACACACACACTCACTCACACACACACACACACACTCTCACACCCACACACACTCACACACTCACTCACTCACACACACACACACACAAACTTCTATGCAGCTGTTAAGGTGTTTTGGGTAGTTGTCAGGATGTTGCTATACAGAGTTGATAAAGTGTTTGATAAACTTGATTCAGTTGCTATGCAGTTGCTAGGGTCTTTTGAGTAGATGCCAGGCCTACTTTTTTGCTAAGTATAGATGTTTTTATGTGTTGCTATGCAGTTGCTAGGGCATGGATTATGGATTCTAGATTTGAAATGCAGTACTAGTGATGCTTGACTTTATTCACATAAAAGAGTTCCTGAAATATCTGTAGTTTTTCCAGTACAGTAGATGTTTACTTCACGGTTGCCCTTCAGACATGCTTCATCCCTCCATACAGTAGTTCTGTGATGTTTGATCTCATCCTGTAACACCTGAAGTGTTTATTCATTGGAGATCCTTGCGTTTGAGGTGTGTGTTCAGTAACCGTGTTTGTTGGCTCTACCTCTTCCAGGACTGGGAGTTTCCTCACTTCATGGGCGATCTGGACATGAACCTCCCGGGCCTTTCCACCATGCAGCTGAAGATCAAACTGCCCGTGTGCAAGCGCATCTTTAAAGACGAGTATCACATTCACATCATGGGTAAATCCGCACACTCGTGCCTTAAGTAGGGCATGACAGCAAACACACCGTGAGCACAGTTATGGCAATGAATCAAGCGGTAGTGCTCTAAACTGTCGTTTGGGACAGGACGGATTAATTAATTCCTTTCCCAAAGGGACACGCTGTCAGAATATTAGCTTGTTAGATACATCTCTTTATAATTATGTGTTTGAAGGCAGCGCATACTAATTAGTATTTGCTCATCTGTAAACTTGCGTTTATATAATGGAGTCAGTAAATCTGAAGGACTGCTGCTGAAGTGTGTGAGCGAACCGCTTTAGTTTCTCTTTTTCCATCTCGCTGTGTTTCGCTCACTGTAGCGAGGGTCCTGATGGCCATCCTGGGAATAGATGATCGCTCCCTCGAGGCTTGGGAAATGGCCCTCCTGCTCAACCATTCATAAAAGTCTTTAACCTTATTGTTTGGCACGGTGATTTAGCATTCGAGAAGAACCCCGCATGAGTGCGCTAATAATGAAAACCATTAGAAAGTGACTCCCAACTCAGTTAATTCACTTTCTCAAGCAGCCGTCTGACTCACAATTTCACTGGGATAAATTCCCAACATGCTAATCTTACATTTTCCTTTTTTCTACCTCAGGGAAATGGTTTAATGGTTGCTATGCAGTTGCTAAGGTGTTTTGCGTAGTTGCCAGAGTGTTGCTATGCAGTTGCTATGGTGTTTTGTATGAAGTTGCCAGAACATTGCTACACAGTTGCTGTGATGTTTTGGGTAGTTGCCAGAGTGTTGCTATGCAGTTGCTATGGTGTTTTGTATGAAGTTGCCAGAACATTGCTACACAGTTGCTGTGATGTTTTGGGTAGTTGCCAGAGTGTTGCTATGCAGTTGCTATGGTGTTTTGTATGAAGTTGCCAGAACATTGCTACACAGTTGCTGTGATGTTTTGGGTAGTTGCCAGGGTGTTGCTGTGCAGTTGCTAAGGTTTTTTGGGTAGTTGCCAGGGTGTTGCTATGCAGTTGCAAGGTTGTGTTGGGCAGTTGCCAGCACGTTGCTATGCAGTTGCTGTGGTGTTTTGGGTAGTTGCCAGGATGTTGCTATATAGAGTTGCTAAACTGTTTTGAGTATGTTGCTATGCAGTTGCTAGGGTGTTTTGGGTAGTTGCCAGGGCGTTGCTATGCAGTTACTATGCTGTTTTTGCGTAGTTGACAAAATGTTGATATGCAGCTGTTAAGGTGTTTTGATTAAATGCCTGGATGTTACTATGGAGTCGCTAGGCTGTTTTGGGTAGTTTCCAGGACGTTGCTATGCAGTTGCTAGGGTGTTTTGGATAGTTGCCAAGATGTTGCTATACAAAGTTGCTCAAGTGTTTTGAGTATGTTACTATGCAGTTGCTAAGGTGTTTTGGGTAGTTGCCAGAATGTTGCTATGCAGTTGCTAGGGTGTTTTAGATAGTTGCCAGGATGTTGCTATACACAGTTGCTTAAGTGTTTTGCGTATGTTACTATGCAGTTGCTAAAGTGTTTGGGTAGTTGCCAGGATGTCATTATGCAGTTGCTAAGGTGTTTTGGGTAGTTGCCAGGACGTCATTATGCAGTTGATAGGGTGTTTTGGGTAGTTACCAAGGACGTTGCTATGCAGTTGTTTAGGTTTTTTTGATTAAATGCCAGGACATTGCTATGCAGTTGCTAGGGTGTTTTGGGTAGTTGCCAGGATGTTGCTATACAGAGCTGCTAAAGCGTTTTGAGTATGTTGCTCTGAAATACTCTGAAATACATTGGGATAAATTCCCAAAACACTCATCTTCCCTTTTTTTTCCTCACTCAGGGAAATGGTTTAATTATGGAATCATCTTCATGGTCCTCATCCTGGACCTCAACATGTGGAAGAACCAGATCTTCTACAAGCCCTATGAATACGGTCAATACGTAGGTCCAGGAGAGAAGATCTACACCGTGGAGGATCCGGAGACGCTGCGCAACTTCAACCGCAGCACGCTGACCTGGGAGTGGCGCTCCACCAACACTGACCCCCTCACCAACCGGACATACGTCCAGAGAGACATGTTCCTTCACAGCCGCTACGTGGGCGTTAGTCTGGACATCAAATGCCTGGCGTTCATCCCAAGTCTGGCGGCCTTTGTGCTCATCGGGTTCTTCATCTGGCTGTTCGGACGCTTCCAAGACAGTGAGACGTTCCCTGAGAACCAAGACAAGAGCTACGAGCGCATCAAGCGGAAGTCTGCGTCTGATCTGGGAGTCACGCCGGAGGAAGTGCACATCACCATGAGCGAGGCCTTGAAGAGGAACGGGACGCCCATGCTGCTTCTGGTGGACACTCATCATTTCGGGTCATCAAACAGCTCCATGTCACCGTGTACGAACGAGACCCAGGAGACCCAACCCAGTGTAGCCTTCGACAGCGGCGCCCATGAGGACACAGCTGATGTCAAAAAGCTGACCCCGTGACCGTAGCCAAAGGTCAAACTCACTTCCAAAGTTGCTCGGCGTTTGAAGTCCTCGGAAAACCATCACAGACTCTCCCTTGAAATTTCTATTTTTATATCAAGTGATCTTGCACTGCGCACCAACTTTCTGAACTTCTTCCACGTTCCTCAAGGACATGGGTCTATGGTGCTAGATGTTTGATTATTCAATGTCTTTTTTCATGTAGATAATCTTGTGCCTACATGGATGAAATGCTGTCCTCACAGTGAACGCTTGGCATGATGGTCATGAAAATACTCGTAATGAACACCTAAAGCTGTGCCTTTATTTAAAAAAACCTTGAAGGCAGTGCTGGGTAGATTTACTTACAAATCGTAGTCTGTTACTGATTCCAAATTACATGACAAAAATTGTAATTAGTAACGGAATCCATTACATTACACGTTTAGTTAATATAATCTGACTACTCTTAGATTACTTTTGATCTAACTTGTTTATCACATTGATTTAAATAGCATAATCTTGTACCATACTGATATAAAAATACAAAAAGAAAGCAAATATATTCCATTTGTTGTTATTAACAGCATGAAGTGCAGTAAACGTTACATTACATCAAGGTTTCCCAATCTGGACTTCGTGAAGGAACTGCGGGGGGTTTGTGTGTTTAATAAAAAATTATATATAATTAACTAAATCATAAAAATGTAAAACGAACATTTTTTTTAATTTGTTTACCTGGATGTCCATGTGACCATTAACCAACTTCAGAGAACCGTGAACATGCAAATGTTCGTAAATCCAGTGGTCAATGCTGTTTTTTCTGAATTTATGAATGTATACAAGCGGTAGCATATTTTAGAAAGGAAAATTTAAAAGATGAAAAAACAATTAGGGAGAAGCCAATTCTGAACAATGTATTGCTATTGTATTCATAATAGACAATCATGTAATCAATAAAAAGTAACTGTAGTCTGATTACAGGTATTTTAAAATGTAATACAATCTAATTACAAGTACTTAGCTTGTGTAATCTGATTACGTAATTCGGATCCCATGTAATCAGTTACTACCCAGCACTGATTGTAGGTTACAGAAGATCGTGTCAAATCATTGTCTGTTTGTAGCTATTTATCAGTTATTTAGACACCAAACTGCTGTGCAAGCAATTACGTTCATGCGCATGTATTTTGAAAATCTGATTTATCTTGAGAAGTAGAATTAGAAAAGATGCATTTGTTACTTCTTTATGCTTAATTTCAGTACTTTCAGCTTCAGCCAAAGCAAAAACTGATTCCTTTGTCTTTTATACGCGTGTTGTTTAGAAATCTTCACCGCAGTGTTTTGTTTTCCCATCATCTGACCATCTTGGTCCTGTGTGTTTTCCTGATGAGCAGGTGAGCCTGCATCCAGATGTCGATCCGGTTCTGCAGAAAGTGCCAATCAAACCCATTATAAGAACATTTGGTAAACAGCCATTAGGCACCATTACGGGTCAAAACACAAGGGTTATAAAAGCATTTTTTCACTAAAAATGTATATTAAAGCTTTCAGAAATCTGCATGCGGCACGTTACCGCTTCACATGTGCCCACTTTCAGTGGTTGTTCCTGCAGAGAGAAGTGTAAAAGTTTCTTTAAAGACATTTCAGATCTTAATAGAATTGAATTATTGCTTTGGAAGTCTGTCGACAGCCTTTCTAAAGCGCTGTGCTTTGACATGATTATTCTCCATCTTTGGTGTACAACCTGAAATTTCTTGCTGTATTCGCACAGCTTTCAGTCTCCACACAACGCCGTGCATTCATGAGTGAATCTGGACCACGCTTGACTGTTGTTGTTGCGGATGTGGCGTTTGATGCAGGTAAATCTCTTCCGCACCGTCCCTAACTTTCAATATCTGTGATCATGGAGAGAAATTAGCTATCGATTTCCTTGCAGTGCACAGACAGACGTGCAGTGCTGTCAGAGGGAAAAATGACACAAGAATTAACCCCTGATAACTTAGCCACTTAGCCAATGCAGCCTTTAAAGGTCCCATGGCATGAAAATTTCACTTTATGAGGTTTTTTAACATTAATATGAGTTCCCCTAGCCTGCCTATGGTCCCCCAGTGGCTAGAAATGGCGATAGGTGTAAACCGAGC